TTGGTGGCAAAAAGCCTAGTTGATACAGAAAATACAATTTACCTAGCTATCATGAATTTGAATTCAAAATCAGTTAAACTTAAACAAGGTGAACAGATTGCACACTTGATGACAATTGAACAAGTTTTTGATGAGGATAATGCTGAGTCACAAACAGATTCAAAATCTAATGACATATCAGAACAAGTTAATACTTTAAAAGATAATGAATTCCCCGAGCATTTAAAATCTATGTTAGATAAAGTATCATCAGACTTAAAAGATGAAGAGAAGCAAAAACTGTCTTCACTTATCCATGAGTATAAAGATATATTCGTTGGTCCTGATGGTTCTCTTGGGCGAACTGATAGAGTAAAACACTATATAGATACAGGTGATTCAAAACCTGTAAAGATATCCCCACGAAGAGTAGCTTTGAAACAGAGGGATGTACTTGAAGAAGAATTGAAAAAAATGATTGACAAAAATTTGATTGAACCCAGTTGTAGTTCATGGGCAGCACCAGTGTGCCTTGTGAAGAAAAGGGACGGGTCTATTCGATTCTGTGTGGACTTTAGGAAATTAAATGAAAGAACTGTAAAAGACGCCTACCCTTTACCACGTATTGATGACACTCTTGATACCTTGAGCGGCGGAAAGTGGTTCTCATGCGTTGATTTAGCCAGTGGTTATTTTCAGGTAGAGGTTGCTGAAGAAGACAAATACAAAACTGCCTTTTCGACACATAAAGGCTTGTATCAGTTTCTTGTAATGCCGATGGGTTTATGCAACTCTCCCGCTACATTTAGCCGGCTCATGAACCAGGTTTTGGGTGGTTTACAATGGCATCGTTGTCTCTGCTATTTGGATGACGTCATAATTTATGGAAAAGACTTTGAAACAGCTTTTGATAATTTGAAAACCGTATTTCAGTGTTTTAGAGAAGCAAATCTTAAACTGAAACCGAGTAAATGCTCGTTTTTTCAAACAGAAGTCAAATTTTTGGGACACATTGTCTCTGCAGAAGGCATTAAATGCGATTCAGAAAAGATTCAATCCGTTCAGAATTGGCACACACCATCAAATGTCAAAGAGTTACGAAGTTTTTTAGGCTTTGCGGGTTATTACCGCCGTTTCATACCAGATTTTGCAACTATCGCTCATCCTCTGACACAGCTAACTCAAAAGAATAAATCATTTATATGGGATGATAAATGTAAAATCGCGTTTGAGACTTTAAAAGAATGCTTAACAACTGCACCAACATTATCATTTCCAAGTGAAGATGGCGCTTACATACTAGATACAGATGCTAGTCAAACAGGAGTCGGGGCTGTTCTTTCGCAAATCCAGAATGGTGAGGAACATGTCATTGCGTATTCCAGCCGGACTTTAAACAGAGCACAAAAACAGTATTGTACTACAAAGCGTGAACTGCTCGCGGTCATTATTTTTTTGTGCCAATTCAGACATTATTTATATGGCCAAAAATTTACTTTACGTACTGATCATGCGTCGCTCAAGTGGCTCAAAAATTTCAAAAACCCGGAAGGTATGATCGCAAGATGGATTTCTATCATAGACACCTACGACATGGAAATTCAACACCGCAAGGGTTCATTGCATACAAACGCAGATGGTTTATCTCGCACACCAAAACGGAAATGTAAACGAAGCAATTGTCCTGAATGTACCGAAATGAAAACAGATATAGAATATTTTGAAAATGTCAAAACTACGGATTGTATTGATGACTTGAATACCGTCAAGGATGGCCATGCCTCCTGCTTAAGTATTCAATCAGTTATCAATGACACGGAAACTGACGGCAACACTGATAGCGTCAGAGGTTGTCTTGCGACCCATTTAGCTATCAGACCGGTCAATGTCAATACAGAAGAACTTAGTTTTGACATAACATCAAACTGGCTCAGTTATTGGTCGAATTCGCAATTAAGAGAAATGCAAGAGAATGACCAAAATATAAGTTTTATATTGAACAATTTGTTACAATCTGATGAAAAACCCAAAAAGTCCGAAATTCAAAACAAATCAAAAGAAACAAAAATTCTTTATGGGTTATGGGAATCCTTGACCATTCAGAATAACCTGTTATGTAAATTTTTTGAAAGAGAAAATCAGGGGCTTGTTTATCAATTTGTAGCTCCGGAACAGATACGAAATTTCATTTTTCAACAGTTACATTGTACAAAATATTCAGCTCATTTTGGAAGAGGCTCAAGAAACCCGTAAACAATATGTTGAGAAGGGAAAAAAAACAAAATTAGAGGACAAATACTATAATTCAAGGGACGAACATTTGAAGTTTAATTTCGTGAAGAATACACTGACAAGGACAATAATAAAAGCGAAGAAACATTGACATTAGGTGACCAATATTTGTTTATATTCCATATTTTGATACATATTTTTTTTAATATTTTGATACATATTTTGAATTTTCGTATACATATTTATTGAACATTTTTGAGATATTTTTTTTTTATATACAGGTTACATTACGTTTACATATTTCTTCATTATTTTTTTTTAGATAAAATGATGACATTTGATCTTTAAGTGGGGAGGAATGTGGCAATATTGGAATTAAGAGTAATTTATTAGCTCCCTTTTAAGTTTAAGCATATTTACATTTTATATAATTACTAATGTTTACATGAAAACTTTCACCTGTGTTTATGTACACAATAACTGTACTCCTTTTCTAAACCGGTTATTAATAGTTAAAGGTAAGATTGTGTTGGTTAAATTGCAAATCTTATTTTAAGAAAGTACCATTTGTTAAGTCATTTTGTTATTAATTATATACTGAATTCACATTTAATACATTGTCCAGAATTCATACTTTCCTCGAAGGTAATTATCAGTTGTCATTACAGCCATGCTGTTTACTATTACTGTTCTGGACCACTTCGTCTATTAAATGTGTTGGCACTAATTAGGGTTTAAACGTTAGGACTTGGGACTAAAATGGTTCAAATGGTACAATTTAAAAGCCCTACTTAAAGTAATACATTTTCCCCCTTTATTTAACTTCTGTATTGTTGTACAACTTACTGTCATAATATAAGAATATTTATTGTGTATTTTGGTATGAAATAAATATGATAATTTAGGTATTATTTCTTTAAGACTTCCCTTCCTAGAATGCTGGCTTATACTTGTCATAATCATTTCCCGGTCAAGTATTAGCTTTGTCCTCCCAGAGAATTGTCCGTTATGTCGGTTGTTGTAGACACTTGTCCCCTAGTGTGACAAGGTGTCCAGGGCAGAACTGGTCTTCATTGTTTATGTAAAGAACCTGGGTTTATTTGGTTATTTCGTGACTGCGCTAGCATTAAGTAAGAAGGTATCCAGAAAACGTTACTTTTACTTGAATGTCAGATCAGTCCGTTCACAATATCAATTACAAAATTTTTGAAAGTGTTCAATTAAGATTAATACCTATTTGCAAAACTTTTTCCTATATATCGCTAAAAAATTTACAACCATGATATTGGACATTACCACATGCAAATTAAGAAATTAAAACATGAAATATTTCTTTTTACCATTATTAAAGTTACTTATGCTGCACATAAGTGGATATAGCAACCTTCAAGTAAAAATCAGTTTTAAACAATGTATGAAGTTAAGTATTTGCTTTTTAGAAGTTTTATAGACTATTCTTGCATTTTAATAGACTACTAAAAACAAATTGATAAATAATCTGTGTTTGATATTCATTTGAAAAATTATTGCAGATTCATCATTGAAATTAGAAGAGTCTTTGACACAAGATGTATTTGCACTGTTTAAGAGTAATCTACCTTCATTGAAATGTCTTTCTGGTAGATTAAATAAAAATCAGGTTAAAGATCCCTTTTCAAGAAAAGATCAATGTAATCTTCAAACAACAGACAATTTAAGGTAAATGTTTAGAAGAGTGATTTGTCAGGAAAAGTTATTTTGAATTTAGTCCCATAAATGATTTTTGGAGTTCTGGTATCACAACAAAGTTTGTCTTGATTTCTTATAATTTTGATTAAAACTGTTTTCAAAGTTACATAGAATTTCCTCATGTCTACACTTTTTCTGTAACTTATTTTTGCTGATAAACATCCCTATGGTCTTGTAGTGTGCTTACTTTGATTTAAGGAGATTGTGGGTTTAACTCAAAACCTGATCAAACCAAAAGCTTTAAAACTGGTATTGTCTGGGACTCTGCAAAGGACATTTGAGCATTTAGGAGTAAGAACAAAGAGTGATTGGCCTCAAAGTGAGAAAATGTGTCCTGGTGAGAAAAATGTCTTCTTGCAAACTGTTATCTTGTGAGCTAGCATGTTAAAAATCCAGCTCATCATTTTGGCTTAGTACAAATCTGGTTCATGACCATACAAAATTCACCTGAAATTGTACTGAATATGCATGTGATATTTGTATCTGGACATAAAGTTTACCTCAATAAATGAATGATCTAGATGTTAAGGAACACATCAGCGACAACTTTGATTTGAATAAAAATGAAATTGATTGTAAAGCTATAGAAAAATATATTCTTCCAATTTGAGGTAGGAATTTTGTATATGGTATTGCTCATATACCGGTATATTGGACCTTGAGGAAAATATCAACAATCAGAATTTTTTTTCTTGTAACAATTTAACCAATTTAGATTGAGTATGACTCAATATTTTATTGCTAGGAATCAAACTAATGTTGTTATATGAAAGAAATAATTCCTGATAAGTTGCATAACCAGTTAAAATCAAATATGAATGTAAAGGTCATTTTCGAGGAACTGAAATAGCATTGATTTCTTTGATGATCAACCAACCATTTTACTCTCATTAAACACTTTAAATTAACATTGGCCTTTAACATAAATGTGAACACATAAATAAGACTTGACTACTAGAAAAGTTCATAAGAAACTCTAGTGTATAAATTACTTTTTAATCAAGAGGTAAAAAATTAAAATTCTAAAAATTCATTTGAAATTTTTTTCTATCAGGCTAGGTGCACCTATATTAACTACGAAGACAAAAATTGCTGATTGTTTGCAAGAGGGATTTGTCAGAGTTGCAGTAGCTACAGATGATGAAGTGAGTATGGATATGCTACATGTATAATAATAAGGCTATTTCAACTTATATTGGGTTGTTTTCATGTTTTGTTCATGGTCTGGACCTTAGAAAGGGGCTATTAAATTTTTGCAATGTTTATTGTTTACGATTCATGGTTTTGTACAATGTATTTAAATTGACAGTTAAACATGGGTTTCGCAAGCTCTGCATATGGATACTATTTAATTTTTAAACTTTATAAATTGACATATTACTTGGTTTTTGTCGAGCCTTCGACTTTAGTCGAAAAAGCGAGACATAGCGATCCTACATTCCGTCGGCGGCGGCGGCGTCCACAAATATTCACTCTGTGGTTAAAGTTTTTGAAATTTTAATAACTTTCTTAAACTATCCTGGATTTCTACCAAACTTGGACAGAAGCTTGTTTATGATCATAAAATTATATCCAGAAGTAAATTTTATAAAAATAAAATTCCATTTTTTCCGTATTTTACTTATAAATGGACTTAGTTTTTCTGCCGGGAAATATTACATTCACTCTGTGGTTAAAGTTTTTAAAATTTTAATAACTTTCTTAAACTATCCTGGGTTTGTACCAAACTTGGACAGAAGCTTGTTTATGATCATAAGATAGTATCTAGAAGTAAATTTTGTAAAAAAATAAATCCATTTTTTCCTTATTTTACTTTTAAATGGACTTAGATTTTCTGCCAGGAAACAACACATTCGCTCTGTGGTTAAAGTTTTTAAAATTTTAATAACTTTCTTAAACTATTTTGGATTTGTACCAAACTTGGACAGAACCTTGTTTATGATCAAAAGCTAGTATCTAGAAGGAAATTTTGTAAAAAAATAAATCCATTTTTTCCGTATTTTACTTTTAAATGGACTTAGATTTTCTGCCAGGAAACAACATATTCACTCTGTGGTTAAAGTTTTTAAAATTTTAATAACTTTCTTATACTATTTTGGATCTGTACCAAACTTGGACAAAAGCTTGTTTATGATCAAATGCTAGTATCTAGAAGGAAATTTTGTTTTCTTCCAGTTAACATTACATTCAGTCTGCAGTTAAAGTTTTTAAACATTTATTAGATTCATAAACTATCCTGGATTTTTACCAAACTTGGACAGAAGCTTCTTACAACCAAAAGATAGTATCAAGAGGAATATTTTTATTGATTTACTTCCTCATTTTTGTTGAGCCTGCGATTAAAAGAAAAAGTAGGCGAGACACTGGGTTCCGCGGAACCCTTACAAATTTTTTAATGAAGGAAAGATTTGATATTTGGTCTGGAACTGTATAATGTTTAGTTGTAAGTTATAACCAATTTTCAGATCTGACAGCTAGCCACTTTGGTGAAAGCACTGAGCATAGAAATTTACCAAGAACAAGTGGGAATACTTTGCAGGACAATGCATGTAACTTCTTGTTATATCCCATTTCCTTCCCATCCCCTTTCCAAAGGAGGGGATATACTGGTTTACCTCTGTCTGTCCTTCAGTTCAAAGGTCTGTCTGTAACATGTTTCTGTCATATTTTTCTCAGCAAATATAAGTGATAGCTTCTTGATATATGACACCAAGTTTTTCTGGCTATGCCATGCTATATGATAGTTTGATGCTCTACTTTCTGTTTGTCGAAAAACATATATTTGTAAATTGACAAGCTCACATATAAAATTTTCGAATTTGGTCAACAACAGTGATCTTTGTATATTTGGTGATCAAGAATTCATAGTACATCTTGTTACGTCAATAATGTCAATACATAAAATATTTAGCTATTCCCTTTCATTTTGATGTTCACAAAACAGTCAATATATTTTATGTTGATTATGTCTGAAACCTGAATAACATATGATATATTTCAAAATGTTAAAAAAGCAATCATATAAACAGATAATTTATTTCAGATGCTTCTTGAGGAAACTTTGTCACCATTTTCTTCACCAAAAGAGCAGAAAAGATCAGATGAAGCTACACTGTTGAAAGATCTTAATGAAATTCCACATTGCTATCTGGGTAATGTATTAGTACTTTCAGGTCTACAAAGACTAGATTGAAAAAAAATATTTCAATATTTGTTTGATTAGTACATATCAAAGTTTATGAATTCAAAATTATTTTAGATGATTTTACTATTAAGAAAATTGAGACCGAATAGGTATCGCAAAAATAAAATCTTGCCTTTCAAATTTTGATAGCATTTTTTGCATCCAGCACTTACCGGTACTGAAATCTCAATAGTTGATATCCCATTTTTGTCCATTCTTCAAAAGTTGCAATGATATATGCAAGCAAAAATTCTGGAGTTGACAGTAAATTTTAAATACTTTTTTTTGTGTCAATATTAAACTACCATGAATTACATGTATATGATACTGTTTCTTGTTTATTTCAGAATCTGGTAAAATATCTCTACCAGCTGAAACCCCAGATATAAATATGTGCAGAGAAAAACTTCAGAAAGAAAAAAGTGAAATAAATAAGGAAGATATTTTCTTAAACATGAATAAGATTGGTAAGTTTGAATCACTGAATATTATTAGTACTTGTTGTATAGGAAAAAGTTATGGAATAATACTAAAGAAAATGTACCAAAAAAAGACATAATATTTAAAAACACTATTTTCTACCATTAAAAAAATAATTGAAATGTTATTTTATGATTAGAAATGTATACAAAAAACACAAAGTGACATGCCTGTCCAAAATCTCATTGTATCTTAAGAAAAAAACTATAAATTACAATTTCTTAATTATTTTCTGAAAAAAAACCCCATAAAATTGATCACAAAATTATTTTCACAAACAGAATCAATGCCCATTTGAAAACTGGGTTGAATCCAATTAGAAGCTTAATATTATATTGTTCACTCATGATCATAAAATTTCTTCTCAGTAGTTTCATAGTTTCACTCAGCAATTTCAGCCTCTGGAGAGAGTTGTTGTATTTGACAAGACTTGACTCAGGTGTTAAGAGGATAAATTATAGCTCATATTATGAATAAAGTTTGTAACAATTTACATCTTATAAGAATCAAAATATTTGTAATTATTAATTAGGCTATACTTTTTTGCCTATATTTATTTTATTTGATATAGCTTAGGCTCTTCTTTCTTGTAAACAACCAGGCTCGTAAAATATTCATGTTATAGAAAAGGTACAGTTTAATGTCTTTTTGTTGTAGCCTAGTCCTTGTTTATATAGCCAATGGTCTTATATTGCCTATCCTAAAATGATACAGAAAAGTATAGCCTAATTAGTAATTACAAATATTTTGATTCTTATAAGATGTAAATTGTTACAAATTTGTTACTAGTTTTGAAAGTTCACAAGTTTGTCATTTTAAATAAAATTCAAATATATCACCAGTCATTTTCATTTTTAGGAGATACAGAGGAAGATTTTGAACTGAAAGCATTATTGGATAGTCCACTCATCATAAACAAATGTAACATAGATGATGACAATTTGCAGATAAAATCAATACTTCATACATTACCTAAGCTTCAGGTTCATGAAAGTGATACAAATGGGTATGTATTTCAATATTTCAATTGTTTTCTACTGTTTATGAATGTTAGTGCTGATAACCTTCATTTGATATGCTTCTGACAACAAAAGTTTTGGAAGACAAATACAAAAAAAATATTGTGAGCTTCAAAACAAGCTTTTAAATAGAAGAACAATGAATGTAGGGTATCCACCATGACACAAAATCGGTACACGCATAGCAAAAAACAAACACACAAAAAGCAAAGGAACAGCGCTTTAATTGCTGTTCTTCATCTCAAAGTCATAGTGAGGCCTTAAGACTGACTTAATTTGTAGATATAGGTGTCAGACCACCAATTCACCCAATTCAATTTAGAACGTATGTAAAAGTAGCCCTACTCTGACAAAAAATAGTGCTTTTGATGTCATTACTTACTTAAACTAACCAACAAATTTGCAGAAATGAAACTTTTGGTGAAAGAGAAATATATTTAGACCATTTTAAGCCAAAATTTACTTGTCTATGAGTTTGCATTTAAAATTGAGGATTAATGTGCTCCATAGTATACTAATTTAAGATTTTCAGAAAACCAAGGGTTAATTTTAGTAGTACTTGGCTTCCGAAAAGGCAGCTGTTCGTTATAAGACTTTTACACATGGGTTGAAAATTGGCATGTAGAAAGGTGATACCTGTACAATTCAGGATATACCTGGTTTCTATGAAGTTAAACTTAAGGTAAAATATTTAAAAATCTGTGAAAATTGCAAAATTTGGTTGAATAGATAGGGATTTTGAATTGGTGGTCTGTTTTAATTATTTCCTTGGTTTACACTTCATTAGACCATGCTGCCCTACCTTCTTTCGTTAGCTTAGTAAATGCTGTGTCAATTTCACTGTAATATATTCACGCAGTCATAGAATTTTTTTAATTCATCATAAAGTTAGTTTGCTTTAACTTTGATATTTCCATGTTTTACTGTAATTTTTTAGGTTCCTTAAACCAGCTGAGATTGATTTAATCAAAGAAAGAATATGGCAGAAAGAGAAATACTTCAGTGATATTTTATCTATGAGAATTACAGGTAATTAATCTTTTTAGAATATTATTTCTTTTACTTAGAATATCAAAACTTCCTCGTTTTACTTGAATTAAAATGTGTTCTTTCTTTTAAAAGAGAAAGTGAAGTTTTTCTAGCTTTTCCTGGGTTTTTTTTCTGAAATGATATTGATTATCAAAGTAGCCTTTTAAAACCATGAGAATCTTCCTACAAACCTAGGGTGTATTATTATTCATTGAGTACAATTTTTTGGTAAATTTCGTGGTTATAAGGTACCAAAAATTCCAGTGTTAAACCAAATTCAAGTTTCCTATAGACTTATATGCAGAATTTGTTAAAACCAAGAAATCAAGTATCCATTAAAATACTTAATTTTCGTAAATATATGAAAATTGGTATTAAAAGAAAATAAATGAATCCACAGTATTCGAAATAATAAAACATTAAGACATCACAATTAGTTATATATAGATTCTTACATTGATACCAGTGGATAATCGGATTTATCCAATCTCGATAGTTAAATTATCAATTTTAAAGTCCGAGCCTTGGCGAGGACTTTAAAATTTATAATTTAACTATCGAGATTTGATAAATCCGATAATCCACCAGTAACTATGTAAGAATCTGTTTCTCTAATGATTAAAAAATAAATTTTCTTTTTTTGTTTAAACGAAAATCCCCTTCGTGTGCCTTTCACATTCCACGAAGTTGTCAATTTCATTAACACCTGTTAGCATATTTTGATTCATCCAGTTAGCTAAAAAGGTTATGACCAATGATCTTTTGAGATCACCAGCAACCACACGTTGAAGTGTTTTTATACAATGGGTTCGGAAAGGGATAAATTTCCATAGAATTAGAGAATCCCTTTTATAGAGTTATTTGATAGTAAGACAGTGGAATAGATAATGAAACTCACTCATTTTACATAGTCACAACAAAGTTGTGTCTGTATTATTGCAAATGTGTTTTTCAGACATTGATGGCGATTTAATTGCTTTGTTCATTTTAAAATTCCACTTACAAATTGTCATCTGATTTTGATACAGAAGATAAATTATTTTTCTTATATTTTTTTTTTGTGTTTAACTCTCGCTAATTTTAATCTTATTGGTTATATTTCAAGGCATTAAAATCAGTACATTATGTATTTGCTGTTGTGTAAATGAAAAATTTCAGGCAGAATTGCACAAAACATTTATTTCCAGCACAGCTAAATCAATCTCCAAATCAAATTCTGAACATTATAAATAGTGTATGACGACTCTCTTTAGACCTGTCTTTTTCCAGAAAAATTTGGTTCATAAGATAAGATGAGAATTTTATTAATCTAATCAAGAACCCATAAAGGGCATCATTTCACAACAACAATATGCACAATATGATTGGAAAAAAGAAAAAAACAAATCAGAGCCTAACACATCATGTGTCTTATATAACTATTACAACATATCTCATAATAATCACATATCATTTATACATTTTGTTTCCACCTGGATCTTATTTCTAAACACTGAATAATATAATTTCCCATGCACATAAGAGTTGGTAAATGCTCATATGTGAACAGCCAGAAATATTTTTTATCCATGGGTTATTCTTTAAAATTAGTACAAAAACTGTTTACTTTATCCAATAATAATTTTCTCTGTTGGTTATATAAAGGACAACTTACTGTAAAATGGGTCTCATCTTCAATATAATTTGATCCATGTAATAAGCAGTGATGACATAGTAGCTGAGTTCTCTCTATGTATTTTTTTTTACTATATCTATCTTTCTCAATTCTAAGATCATGAGCACTTATTCTCATTTTACATATAGCTCTTCTAATATTAAAATCTTTAATTGATAAATAAGCCTCCTTTACAAAGTCAGTCTTGAGGTTGAAATAATTTTCTAATTTACTATTACCTTGTGATAAGGTATCAGATCTTTTGACCAACCAAAATGTTTTAAAACTGTTACAAAGTTTACATTTTACCAATTTAATTAATTTATTGAGCTTTTTATTCAAATTTTGTATATCAAGTGATTGGAGTACATATCTCATAGATGAATACCAACAATTAATGTTTCCTGCATCTAAAATTTTATTACAAACATAAGCATCATAAAGTAACCCATCGTCCAATTTGTTAAGCCTGTGTAAATATTTTACCATAGATATAATGACAGAAAAATAAAGAGGAAATCTTGCAACCTCTGATAACACTGTCAAATTTGAGGCTTTTTTTATTTACACCAAGAATATACTTTAGATATCTGAAATGTGATTTTTCCAAATAATCATTTATGTAAATTAATTCAAATAGATAATCACTTTTTTTCTTACAAGCAGCAGAGTTAATCTTAAAAGTACCCCAAATTTCACTACAATATAATAAAATTGGCTTAATTGTATGATCATATAAATGAATTGCAGTATCAATACTTGGATTACAAGCTGACATGGATTTTTGTAATTTAAATTTTGCCTTTATGGACTTTTTGAATAGCTCTTCTTTCCCCTGCTGAAAAAGACCACTAGAAGTAAAGACTATCCCTAAATATTTATATCTGTTAACACATTCTATAGCCTCATTATCTAAACAAAGCGATTCCTTCAAAAATTTACTAGGCTTGTTAAAAATTAAAACTTTTGTTTTGGACATAACACTTAAATTAGTATAAATATTGTACTGACTCCAAACTGAAAATTTCTAAAATATAAGACTGATACAAACAACCTAAGTTAGATGAAGGATATTTTCATAGCAGAAATTATGGCATTTTTAAAAATTTTTAATACTCTTTTCTGTCTCAGTTTTATAATATTTAGAAAAATCCACACGAAAATTCATATATGTAAACAATAAGTTGTAGGGAAACTTTCTTGTATTTTCTTTATGTTTTTATTATAGAACCAGAAATCCAAGTTCCTATAGTTTCCTACATGTCTCTTCAAACAGTCATTCAACAGCAAAAATTAGTGAAGGAGGATCATATTGGTGAAACTGAACTGTCACTTAGCTGGGATCCAGTTGGAAATAGTGCTTGCAACATTGAGAAAACCTTGAGCACCACAGAGAAAATTGATCTAACAGTGAAAGAAAATATTTATTCTGAAGTTTTTCAAATTAAATTTGAGAAATTTCAGTACTCTGATATGCATTGTATGTATGTTTTATTTTATTTATTAAGAAAATGCACATTGCATCATTTTTAACCTAAATAAATGTTGCTTCAAGACAGCTTCCAATAGTTATCAACAAGTAGAAGTGGGACATGTCCTAGCATTCAGCATTCACAAATGTTTGATTGTTGTAAAATCGTATTACAAAAATACTGAACTCAAAGGCAAATTAAAATAAGGGGGAAGTCCACAAAAACTGACAAAATCAAACATTATCAGCCAATGAAACGAGTAGAAAATAACTGCCATATTCCTGACTTGGTACAAGCATTTTCCAAAGAAAAGTTTGGGTTAAAAAAGGTATATATGTTTTGTTTTGTGAGCAACTTGCAGTTGCAGATCTTTTAAAATTTCTCCAAGTAAGTTAAGGCTTCCAATATTGTTCAATGAAATTTTTTAGTAAAAATAAGGATTTTGGGTCCAAGTAGGGATCATGCTTTTTGATTGTCAAAGAGCCTTCCTAACTGGAATTTCAAGTGTGAGAAGCAGATTAGGTAATTTAGTAATTGAGAGTTAGTTTAGCTACAAATGTACCAGGATTTATTATACAATTTGTTGAACTGACTTCCTTGATATAAGGGAAAATGTTAATTAGATGTATGTTTAATTGTTGCATTTCAACTTGATTTCAATTTTAATATGATAAATATTTTAGGTGTGAATGATGATGTTATTGAAGTGTCCAATACCAACAACATATCAGATATGAAAAGTAGGTAAACACATCTGATGATCAAGAATAATGGTCTAAGTTGAAAAGTGTAATATTTGAACAAATAGCTTTTGTTATTTCTGCATAAAATATTATATTCGTAACATGGGTTATAATCTTTTTCTATTTTTGGTATGTCTGAAGGGGAGATAATTACTGTTATATTTTCTTTCCTCCAAAAGCAATTATAATTTACATCTACATGCAGAGGGTATAATGTTTTTGTTGATGTTTGTTTAAATTATGTATATTATATATGAGAACTATGTGAAATAATAGGAATTCAATTGATTCACCAAATTCACAGGAATGCCATTTTTACATTATGGATAATAGTTATTTAGACACTTGATTATTTTATCAAAAATTGTAATATTCCAAAGTCCAATGTTTTTTATTGTGTGATAGAAAGTGGATTTTCTGATATGTTCCATTTTATTGTTTACTTGTATTCAAGATAATGAAGTCTTGTTTATTTTAGATGATGAAGAAGTTGAATCAGAATCAATAGTAAATCAGCCAATGATGGTTTCTTCCTTTGAAACTGTGAAAGAAGGTAAACATGTGTTGTTTTTATTCACCTGATAAAACATTTTTTGTAACCAAATTTCTTGCAAGCAACTAGTTCTATTTTACTTTGCAAGGTATTGAAACCAAAAATTATTCATGTTGAAATCAGTTAATATTAAGTAAAGCTCACTTGAATAGAGCTGTTGATTTTAACAGGATGTCACACTTTTGCATGCCTAATGAATTAAAAATTTTCATCACACATTTCTTTAATACTAATAAACAAAATGACTTCATATTTGGTCAGGAGCTCAATAGTGAAGAGTTGAAATGTGTTTGAACCGATTTCAGATCTGTTAGAGTAGGACAGTCAGACACCTACTTCTTGTTTTCTGATACTTTGAATTACAATTGAGGTATGCTCACGCATTCTCATTGTTTCAATATTATCATATGAAAAATTACCAATAATCTTGTTTTTTTTCAATCTAAATTATTATAAAAAAGCTATGATATTCCAGAAATTGTGAAATGCTTATAACTTAATTGTTAGAAGTGAATATTGAAAAAATTATCTTCAAGAGAAAAATTTTATACATCACAGTAACCCAAGATGTAGTCTCTGCAAATGAAGAAGACTTTGGTTTCAGTCAAATTGATGATTTCTTTACTTTACGTATTGGAGCAAAGCCACAGCAACAGAAAAAATCAATCACCAGTAGGTTGACAGCAGGTATTTCAAATATTTCATTTCATTAAGAGAACACATATGAGATAGTGAAAAAAGAAAAATATGAGATTTTGCATTCAATAAAAAATGTATGATTTAGATTGATAGTATTTGGTATGATTTGTATTATTTGAAGTTATGAAACCTGTAGGGAGAATTTTTGGAGCTTGATTTTACTCATATTCATGCAATGACAGTTATGACCTTATAATTGTTGATAATCTTTTTTTTTGTTAATCTTCAGTTATGGTACTATTTTCATGATTATGAACACTAAGCTCATTGTTAATCCCTAATTAAGTGTTGATCTGACTTTTCCAGCAGAATTTTAACACAACTTAAAATTAAAATCATACATAATCTCAAGAATAATCTGTGAAAAAATTTGTTTTATATTAATAGATGCTGTGAAACCCAACCCTGAAAGTGGTTGTGTGGATAGGAAAAGACCAGTAGATAACAACAAGATATGGTCTGATATTATAACTGTTCAACTGGGAGGTATATCTCAAATTGTTGCTTTCTGGTTTGTATTTTCATTGTTTTTACTTATTTATTTATTTGTTTTATATTTATTTTATTGATATCATGTTAATTTTATTTTTGTTTCAATTGAATTGAAGTTGATATATGTCTTGCATTATTTTGAACGATTGAGCCCAATTTTTCTAATGCATTGTGTTCATTTTGATCTCACTTGGCTCTTATGGATCGTGTGAGCTTTTACCATCACTGCCTGTATTCATCTACCATTCTTTTCCTTTGCCCCTGCTGTATGTAAACATTTATATTCTTCTCAAACTTGCTGAAATTGAATTAAACCTAGCAGGAATATTATATTGAATATAATAATAAGATGGGGTATGACTGCCAATAAGACAACTCTCCACCAGAGACCAAATGAAGTAGAAGTTAACAACTATAGCTCACCACAAGGCCTTCAACAATGAGCAAAACCCATACTGCATCGTCAGCTATAAAATGCCCCGAAATGACTAATGTAAACCAATTAAAGACCTGTTTACCAAAAAAAAAACATTTAGATAGTTTTCTTGGTTGATCAGTGTTCAGCTTTTCTTCTCTGACCCTTCAATTCTAGATATTTTAATGCAGAAAGTGAGTTACATTAATGGAAATCATTTCCTATTAAGGATTTGTTTCTATAATAACTCAGCAGTTAAATAATTTTTTTATGAAATTTTTTTCAGGTGAATTTGAAAATATTGTAAGTGCTATTGATGAAAAGATCTGTTACCTACTATCATCTTTGAAGACTGCTGGTGATCATTTACAGAACCAAGATTCATCATCCTTAAATACAGATTATACAAGATTTTTATTGAAGCAAAAGGAGAAACAAATGACAGATTCAAAAGACACAGGTATTGATGTCATGAAATAAAAGTTCCTTCTTAATATAAGTTCCAAATGGAAGAAATATTGTGTAATATTATTTCCACTTGAACAGATATTGCAGTGTTTGTTCCTATGGAATTGTTTATAACAAAGTTTCTAGGAGAAGGTCTTTTTATAGGCAGAACAAATACACATTGACATTTATATGATATGGTTTAGGATTGTTGCATTTTTATTGAACAAAGTATCAAGAATTTATACTTCTTTATAATATTTGAAAAATATTCTTTATCTTTAACAAATGATTGATAAAGACATCTACAAGGTGTACAGTGATATCTTACATTGGGGTTTGGTATTGTGGTTACAAAAAACAAATGATGGGATAATTCACATCACATAAGGATATGTAAAATAATCTGGTTCTCATATACTTAGTTTTTTTTTAAATGTGTTGTCAGATATTTATTACAACATTTGTTAAGACTTCATTCTACAAGACATTATGCACACACTCATATTTTACCCTGTAAAGATGAACATTTTCAAACCACCAAACTGGTCTTTGTATATTTCTTGTTTTTAATTATAAGTCATTTTAATCAACATTGTCAGAGAACCAGAGGAATTCTTTTTCAAGAAATTAGAAAGGTTCCTGACAAAAACACTTGATACAAAGAAAATACATAAAAAGTAAAAGTAAGCTAAAAATCAGAGCACTTTGAAGTTTTATGAAGAAATTCATCTTGATAACTGGAGTTCCTTTTAATTTCATACTATATCTTTTTATCTAAAGATAATTACAGTCCATCAAAACAGTTATGGTTAACAATATAATTTTGAAATTAATCAGAGACTTTGTTGAAAGAGCAAATGTTGAAATTAAGATAGCAATACTTTAACATACAAAATATTTACTATATTTTTATGCCCCTCCTAGGGTCATTATGTTTTTCGGTTTGTGTGTCCGTTCGTCCGTCTGTTTGTCAGTCTGTCCCACTTCAGGTTAAAGTTTTTGGTCAAGGTAGATTTTGATGAAGTTGAAGTCCAATCAACTTGAAACTTGGTACACATGTTCCCTATGGTATGAACTTTTTAATTTTAATGCCAAATTAGAGTTTTGACCCTAATTTCACGGTCCACTAAACAAACAAAATGATAGTGTGAGTGGGGCATCCGTGTACTATGGACACATTCTTGCTTTATCTTATGATAAATCCATCAAAACAGTTATGGTTAAAAATATAATTTTAGAATATATGAAAGAGACCTACAGGACAACTGTTTGCTTGCATGCTTTGTGTGGAGCTAGAGATGTTTTAATACATTACTGTTTAGAGTCCGCAATAGCTCACCTCCAAGCTGCTGAAGATAAGCACAAGTCATACTTGACAGGTATGTAGAGTTCTGACAATATGAAAATTGCTGTCATGGGGGATTAATTTCATCTATTCTTATGAATATTTCCTTTTTTTAGTTCAAACAACTATATTTTTCTAAGAACTAAAAACCTTCAAAAGCAATATTTGGACCAAAAGCTGTTTTTTAATGCCCCCGCATCAGTGAAGGGTGACCCTTGTCCGTCTGTATGTATGTACATCCTAAAACAGTTTTTCTATTCCCTTACTTTAGTTTGCCTCAACCAAATGTTATGAAACTTGTACACAATGCTTATTACCACAAAACACAGGTCAAATCCGAATTTGGGTAGCGTCACTTTTACTGATCTAGAGTTATACCCTTTATAAATGGCAAAATTGCGGAATTTTTTGTTTCTGTTCTTCAACTTTAGTTTGCCTCAACCAAATGTTATGAAACTTATACACAATGATTATTGCCATAAAACACAGATCAAATTCGAATTTTGGTGCCATAAAGACACATTCTCCATTTATTTCTGGTTAAATTAACGTTTTTAAGTACATGTACTTCTGGCATTGAAAAATAGTTCACTGCTTTCATTAATGATAAAAAAAGATGTTGAAAAATAGCCCAAATGATTTACTAGTACATGTAACAAACTCAATGTTTTTGCTTCAGGTTTGGTCATACACTCTCATTAAGGTATACCACACATCACTTAATTTGGGGTCATATTTGAATGGTGTGGAAAATGCATCACCATTTTTCTTCACACCATCTTTTGTAATTTTATCTTCCAAAATATTATATTTGTATTTTTATGTCTAAAAGGTGGGATAGAAGATATCAGACAGAAACTGTTCAAGCTGAGTTGTAATTTTCAACAAAATAACATCTATCATCCAAAAATTATCGCAACCTGTAAAGAAGTAGAAAAATGTTTCCAGTTCAGATATAATACAGAGAAAAAGGTATGGAAAATTTTTGACTTTAACGTAAATAAATAAATTATATGAAAAAAACCATTTACAAAATTGGCAGAATGTAAACGGGTATGGATATGAAATATGTAATAATTGCCATAGACGAATCTGGAATTGCAGTATTAGACTGTTTGTTACAGTATTAATACACATCTACCCATTCCCTAAAGATTACCGTAATTATATCCCACTCCAAAGAAAGGGGTATACTTGTTAACCTCTGACCATCTGTCTGTAATTCATTTCTGTCACTATACATGACAAATTTTGGTATGTAGATTTGAAGTTTGGACTTATGTGTATGTCTGACGGACAATATGTCATACAACCTTTTCCTCATATTAAGACTTCATTGACGAGTGGTCAGGTGAAAGATTTGGAATTAAATCTTTTCCTTAGTAACTATGAATGAAAAAAACAACTATATTAAGTATAAGATTTAGTATTACAAATGAATCTTGCCAGGGTGATTTGACCTTCACCTCAGTTTTCAAGTTCATTGTCTTATTAATAATATGTATCAAGATAATGCAACAGCAGAGATATTGTAATGAGACAGTTCTTGCTAAAAAGTTTTTTTCCTGAAATACTGTTTGCTTTCAGGTTTTGATTGTTGTGAAAAGAAAGATTCCCAGTTTTCTGAAAATGCTTGAGAAAGTAATCTGTCACTGTTCATTAGTTAAGTTAAAGATTCAAGAAGAATCACAGAATGAAAACATTGTAGCAAGGTAAGATAACTTGAGTTAAAAATATTTGCACTTCTTGTGAAGCTGTTCATAACTGAGGTCAAATCTTTATCTAATATTGAGAATTTAAAGTAAAACTTAGTCTTTCAAGGAGTCATTATCATGAAGAATTAGTGACCTGTAAATAGAAATAGGAATAAAGTTAGAAACATTTATTCTTACAGAATTACATGTATGAAGTACACTGCCATATTGTTTGTCTGTACACCTTCAATAAGTTTTGATATTTTACAAATTACAATGTATTTCAGTGCAATGCACAATGGATTGTGCCTGATATTCATATGATGAAGACATAATCTTTCAATCAGTTTAATTGAAGTCTGGAGCTGGCATGTCAGTTAACTGCTAGTAGTCTGTTGTTATTTATGTATTATTGTCATTTTGTTTATTTTCTTTGTTTACATCTTCTGACATCAGACTCGGACTTCTCTTGAACTGAATTTTAATGTGCGTATTGTTATGCGTTTACTTTTCTACATTGGCTAGAGGTATAGGGGGAGGGTTGAGATCTCATAAACATGTTTAACCCCGCCGCATTTTTGCGCCTGTCCCAAGTCAGGAGCCTCTAGCCTTTGTTAGTCTTGTATTATTTTTTATTTTAGTTTCTTGTGTACAATTTGGAGTTTAGTATGGCATTCATTATCACTGAACTAGTATATATATTTGTTTAGGGGCCAGCTGAGGGACACCTCCGGGTGCGGGAATTTCTCGCTGCATTGAAGACCTGTTGGTGACCTTCTGCTGTTGTCTGTTCTATGGTCGGGTTGTTGCCTCTTTGACACATTCCCCATTTCCATTCTCAATTTTAATTTTACATATTTGAAAGGTGCACACATTTACCAAACTTCGTATTTTTTTATCAGAAGTGTCTGGGTTGTTTAATTTAGATTATGAACAATAATTCATTACAGTAATAAAGATTATTTTGAATTAGTTATTTTTTTATTATAAACTAACTCTGCAGCCTCACTCATTAACTAGATATTATTTATGTTTGTGAGTAAAAGATTTTGTTAATTAATCAACAAATTCAACAACACAAAAAAGTTATTACTGGTACTTATCATTTAAACAAAATGCACAAAAATAATTTCCAGATAGAAAAATGTCATCATCACTCAGAGATCTCTTCTGTCTGTTTAGGAATTCATATGTATGATACAATGTATCATGAAATGGCTTTACACAAGTATAAACTTTTAGGTTTCCATGATGCTTACTAATGAACTATGACATCTATGGACATTGGAATCATTATGGTACAAAAAAATAATTTCTGAAACTGTTATTTTGACTTATCTTATATTTCAGCCTTGAAGACTGTAACTGCATGATAATACCCAGTAACCTGATTGATAAACACTTTCCTTGGGCGATGATAAATCTTGTTATTGAATACGAATATGACAAGCAGGCAACTCTCTCAAGAACTTGTGAAACACAAAATATAAAATTAGTTTCATTCAATGTCAAACTTAGTTCTTCTGAGAGCAGTTCTCAACAAGGTACATAAACTACAAACTGCTTGGCTTTGAAATAATTATGCATTCAATATTTGAAATGGAACACAGATATTTATGTTATGCAATTTGAATATTACATATGCATGAGACATAGCAAACAGGAAAATACACAATTTTTTAATTCTCTTGATCTTAGATTGTCTTCTCCTTATGGACGATGTTATCCTATTAGAAATAAATTAGCACTATAATAGTTAATATGAATAAAAGGAGAACGGGTATACAATGAGCCAGCAACCTAACAACAACAAAAATACAAGAAAGACTTTATTCTTTACATTATAAATGACACTAGTTATTTGAAAAACACATTTGTAAAAATAATTTTTTTTAATTTTAGAAGCTCAACATTTTGAGATCTGAGCTCTGTTCACTATTTGCTTCTTTTGAATAAAAAAAACTTTTATGTTACAATTTTATGTGAAATTAGCTTAGATCTTTTATCACATGGGTTACATCTACATTTGATCCGGAATATATGCTTTATTCTTATTTAAACATCATCCTGAATATGCATGAAATATTTGCCTCTGGACGTTAAGCAACCAACAATCAATCAATCTTATTTAAACATCAGATTTAACTATATATTTCAGTTTTTATGTTTGAAAATTATTTAACCTATCATATTGCTTTTATTTCAGAAATAAACATTCAGAAAAGCCTTTTTAGATGTAAGGAATTACAGCAGATGACAATACTGGGTTCATCCAAACTAACTTCTTGTGGAGACATTCTTCCATTGTTGGAAACAAGGTATATGCTTAACTAGACCATCAGTCTAAAACTGGAGTAAATTATTATTTGATTTGTCTTTTTCAAGATTGATTTATCATTTAGGTTTACTTTTCCAAGACTAAATTATCTTTAAATGTGTACAGGAACTTGTGCAAACAGCTGAAGGTATAGTGAAAAGAAATGTTCAAAAATATATGTATACCCAGGTAAGCAAAACTTGCTTAAATGTGTCATTGTACAAAGTTTGAAGAACTATTGAAAGGGGGTATTTATTTAAATATATTATTAATCAAAATAAAATCACTATCAGACGTATGCATTCTATGGGGCTCTGATAAGGGAAACTCCACAACATACAAAGGTGGTGTTGGATTACAGCTGGGGCATGTTTGCATCTCGGACGTCAGTCCATATTTGGTCAAGAGACTGACTGAAACCAATGGGAAGGTGGCTCTCATGTTGACCAGTCACATGATTAACGAAGAAATTGTTTGAAACAAAGTGCGCTCACTTCACTTTCAATTTGGCGTGGCTGTAATCAGCAAAGTTTTCAGCAGAAACTATTTTTGATTTTAATTTAACATACAGGAATCTTAAGCATTCATAACTGATATGTAAGTCTAGAACATTTCCTACTATGGCCGCTGTTTTGGAACAATTTAAACTTTTATTGGGAATTCCAGAGTGGTTCCGTCTGTCCAAGGAAGAAATTTCATCATTGGATTACTACCTGACCGAAACAGAGAACGATCTTTCACGGGCTTTGTGGTCCTTAAAACTAGACTGTGCCGCTTGTTGCATGGGATGCATCTTTTGCAACATAAATGCTATTATGCTGATATGTGTGACATTTAAACAGCCTCGCGCCGATTAAGAGATTTTCAACTAGAATTTGATTCAAGTTATTAGTGTATGAATGTTAACTGAACCGCTAGTTCTGCAGTTGCATTATTATTAACTATTTTGTGCGTAAATCATCACAATGGAGGATATAGACCGAGTAAGAACGTGGGCGGCAGCCAAGAAACTCGACGAAAGCACGACGGATGAACTTTTGGAGAATGGCTTCACAACCATTGAGTCGTTATCGCTTTTAACAATGGAAGACGTCAGAACTTTAAAACTGCCGTTAGGCCAACAAAAAATGTTAATGCACGCAGTGGAAAAAACATTCGTCAAAGATACTTCCAAAACAGAAAATTCCAACTGGCGATAGATGCGGAGTTAACTGATAACCAGGCCGGAAGTGCGCATTCCGGAATCCAGTCATCAGGAAGTAATACGAATCCAGGGAACCAGTTTACCGGAAGTAATTCTCAAAACCACCAACAACAACAACATGATACCGAGGATCCTTAAGTCCGAGCATTGCTAGAGCAATTAAAAACAAACCAGCTAAGTGCTACGGGGATGACAGGACCAACCCAAAACAACTCACACCAAGGTACGGTTCCAGGTATAAATGACATTTTTTCCTGGCAGGACCCACAGTTGTGTTTGAAGTCAATGCCTATAGTGGACTCTAAACATTTAGACATTATTGACTTTATTTCTATAAATGTTTCATCTTCTGAAAATTCAGAAAGCTTAATTTCACATGCTAGTGGGGGCAGTTAATTTTTAAATCAGGTCCTGTAAAGCCAAAATTATAGACTATTTCTCTTTGTCAATGGTCAATGGCCAATATTTCCATAATGTATAAGTTGCTGGAAACTGGGACTCTTTCGGCTCAAAATTATTTGGACTACATGTCATACACCAAGCGCATTTATCAGTTAATCACATGTTATGACATGGTCTCTGTCTTCTTTTATGACAGAGAGTACAGGTGTTTACAACACCAACACAAATTTCGCTGGTGTACTGATGTTCCCCACCTTCAGACAGTATTCTTACGGCCCAGATTCCAGCAACCCAACAAGGTTAATTTGCCTATTAATAATAAGTCTTGGGGGAAAGGTGCATCTAAACCAACTGGTTATGCATCTCACTCCAATGCTGGAAAGGAGATATGTAGAAGATTTAACAGAATAAGGGGTTGTCAGTCAGTCTCTTGCAAGTTTGAACATGTTTGTTCTGTACCTGGTTGTAGCAGAGATCACTCGGCACAATCACATTCTTCCACAGGTCAGTCAAAAAACTCAGCATAAAGCCTTTACGTGACCTTAATCTGGATGTTTGGCAGCTTGAACTCAAAAACGACTTTGACAAATCCTTTTTACTAAACGGCATAGAAAATGGTTTTGACATTATTTCTAATTTTGATATTTTGTCACCAGTGGAATTAAAAATTCACCCATCAGCAAATCCAAAAAGCCCCCTTTACAAAAAAGCCCATGCTCAGATTTTAACAGAAATAGAAAATGGGAATTACATATTTGCTAAATCACCTCCAAAAATTATCAGCCCTATGGGCATAATACCGAAGCCTGATGGTGGGGTGCGCATTATCCATGACTGTAGTCAGCCAGTGGGCTCTTCTGTTAATGATCACGTAAGTGACTTCCCAAAACAAAAATTTCAAACCATTGAGGATGCTGCAAAATTGGTGTCTCCTAATTATTTTTTGGCGAAAGTGGACCTGAAGTCGGCTTATAGATCTGTTCGAATTAGTTAGAAAAGTCAACAGGTTACAGGTTTTAATTGGATTTTCCCTAATGGTGAACAACACACTTTTGTTGATTGCAAATTACCTTTTGGCGCAAAGTTAGCTTCCAATATTTCTCATAGGTTGTCACAAGCTGTCAGACGAATGATGTCACGTAGAGGTTTTACAATCATTGCATATTTGGATGATTTTTTGATATGCGAGCCTACAAAAACTAGGTGTTTAGATGCTCTAAACACACTTTTAAACCTTTTGTGTGCGCTTGGATTTTTGATCAGCTGATCAAAAGTTGTAGGTCCCTGTCAAAAAATTACCTTTTTGGGGATTGAAATAGATTCCAAGCTCATGGAATTGCGCCTCCCTAATGACAAACTAAGCAAACTAAAGCAAGACTTAGCAGAGTTTTTGCAGCGGCAGCGCGCATAAAAAAAGCAACTCCAATCCTTAGCAGGCAAATTAAATTGGGCATCCGCAGTGGTTCATGGCGGAAGAGTATTTCTTCGCAGAATCATTACTGCATTTTCGCGTCTTAAGCAAGACTGGCACAAAATACGCATCCAAGGCGCACTCTTAGCGGATATTTCTTGGTAACGTGATTTTATGGCGTCTTTTAATGGGAAATCTCTTATATTAGATAAAATACCTGTCACATCAGTGATAACAGATGCTTGTAGAGAAGGAGGGGGGGACCTCCATGATTTAGACTGGTTCTATGTCAATTGGAACAAAGATTTTCCTGCTTGTTCAAATTTTCATATAAATGAACTTGAGGTTTTTTCTGTTTTCTTAGCTGCAAAAAAATGGGCTAGTAATTGGGCTAACAAGAGGGTCGTAGTTCTCTGTGATAATATGACCACAGTAGCCTGCATAAATAAATGTACGTCTCGTAACCCGATTTTAATGGGTTTTTTTAGAGAACTTTTTTGGCTGTCTGCTTTGTTCAATTTTCATATTAAAGCTGTTCATGTCCCAGGTGCTAGCAATGTGATAGCGGATCATATTTCTAGACTACATGAGCCCGGATCCTTTGAAATTTTTATGCGTTATTATTTACCACAGCCCCTGTTTATTTCTCACTTGCACAAACATATGTCTAATGCTGCACTTTCTTTTTTTTTGTGTAGGCACACAGGGCTCCAGGAATTTAAAGGAACTGGATGATCTGATCCTCCATTTTTGGGGAAATACATTTGCGGAATCAACTAAAAAGACATACATGACTTATTTAAGATCTTATGTCCAATTTTGTACAGGGTATAAAATACCATTATTTCCTTTGTCACCTAAGAATGTTGCCCGGTATATTGCCTTTTTATCTCGCAAGCTGCAATTTAACTCTATTGCAAATTATTTGATCATTGTTAAATTAATTCATGTCGAAGCAGGATTACCAGATCCTTTAGCTGGTCATTTTGTACATTCTGTTTTACAAGGAGCTAAGAGGGTACTTGGCACTGTTAGTAATAGGAAATTACCCATTACACCATCTATTCTACGACGCATTTTTACCACAATTAACCTTTCATGTTCTGGGGACTTGGCCTTCTGGGCTGCTTGTTTGGTTGCCTTTTTCTCATTTCTGAGGAAATCCAACTTATTACCCCCTTCACCCACACTATTTGATCCAAAAGTTCATTTGAGCAGACAGGATATTATTTTCCAACCGCAAGTGGTTATTTTAAGAATCCACAAGACCAAGACCATTCAGTATGCACAAAGGGTATTAGAGATCCCCCTTCCCAGGATAAAAGATTCCCCATTTTGTCGTGCAAGTGCATTATTATTGTTGCATAATCTGGTCCCTAAGACCACAACCCCTTCCCCTGCGTTTATCTATTTACCAAAAAATTTAGTAACACCACTGACATATCCAGCCTTTTTAAGTCGCTTAAGGTGGGCTTTGCAGCACTTAGGTTTTGATTGCAACCAATATTCTGGTCATAGTTTTCGCAGGGGTGGGGCTTCCTTTGCTTTGGAATGTGGCCTCCCTAGTGAGGTCATACAAGCTCAAGGCGACTGGCGTAGCGATGCATACAAGGCATATATAGACCCATCTCTATCATACCGTCATCAGGTAATGCAAGCTTTTACTGCGGCTTTCACAACCTCTTAACACACCTAACACACTACTTCTATACAGGTTTGGGACAAAATTTTGGAGAACAACAGTTTTGCTGATCTATGTATTTTTGTCTTTCGCCTATATTTTGCCAATTATATGTTTGCATCTAATTGGAATTTATAATTAAACTGTGGATTACTTGGCCCAAACCTGTTTTTTGGTATTTATTCAAGCCTTGATTGCATATCCAAGGTTTCCTCACCAGACTCTGGACTAGTAACTCAATTCAGTTCAGGATTTGGTTGAGACTCCTTTTTGTTAAACAGTCACAAACACACACAAACAGCAGAGACAATTAAGGCATATTAGTACAGGGGAAAACCTACAATGGGAAAAAGGGGAGGAAGGGAAGCAAAAGAGTAAGTTTGGATTAATAGATAAGTAAATAAATGAGGGCTGCTATATGTTTTCCCAAAAACTTTTATTACATGAACTTAATAGGTTTTCTCAAAATTTAGATTATTGCACTAGTGCACTTTTGTCAGTAAAACCCTTCTGTCCTGAAGACCTAGCTGAAAATGTACTAAAATTCAAGATTATACCGCACAGTTGAGGTTAATAACCCAATTTATTCAAATATAAAACTGCTGCTCCAGATATATCTGATCACGTGTACTCATGATATGACTTCTGGTTCTGTCACATGTGCAGGGGGGGATCCAGACATTTTTAAAAGGGGGGGTTCCAAATATTTGTCCCCATTCAAATGCATTGATCTTCCAAAAAAGGGGGGTTCCGGGGCCCCCTGGATCCGCCACTGCATGTGTGACACCATAGAATTAAGAATGTATACATTTTTTAAAGATACAACCTTATAGTGATAGAAAGAAACTACAGTATGTTTGATGGGACATTATATTTTCCTGATATTGACATAGATGAGAAGGCGTGTATTGTATTACATTCTCTGACAGATATGGCAGGTGAAAACAACTTGGAACCTTTCCTCAAGAAAATTATCTCCCTTAGTCTTAAATACACAAAATGTTGGATTTTGTTGTTTAACTTGTCAAAATCTGGGAAAAGGTAAGTAGTTTATTCAATAATTTATGACATCATTACTTAGAATAGTCCAACAGTCCATTATAACCAGTTATATCACATTTTATTACCATTCTATTTTCTGATCTGCATAAATTAAACATTCATTCCAATTAAATTTGTTCTCTAAGATGTACCTGACAATCATTAGTACTAAGTAATTATGGCCTAAAGCCATCAAATTTCAGTATCATCATTACTGTGAGTGCTTTAAGCTTTATATTACTATCAATTGGAAGCAAATTCCATTGTAATGTAAACTGTAAACATGGGAATCAAACATTTTCTTACATTTATGGTATGATTTTGCTGGTATGCTATTTTCGGCTCTTGGACTGATAATACACCTGATATGAATAATGCCATGTTATGATCATTTTATCATATGCTTCAATATTGGAGAAAAATAACAGTTTAATATATTAATCCTTTTAAGCTAAGTGGTTCTCATGTAGAAGTTCAAAAAGTAAAAAATTTACAGATGATTTTGCTGGTATGATATTTTTGACTCTTGGGCTGATATTGAACCTTGGGCTGATAATACATCTGATATGAATAAAATGCTTCGCTGGGCGCAGCTTGATACGACCGCAGAGGTCGAACCCTGAACAGTTGGGGCAAGTATGGACACAACATTCAAGCTTGATACAGCTCTGAATTTGGATTGTGATTAAATATTTGACACAGCATAGGTTTCTGACACAGAAAAAATGTGGTCTAAGAACTTCAATTTTTTTAATTTACCTATTATGGTCCAATGTCCAAAATCAAAATACATGGTTAGATTCAGCATATCAAAGAACCCCATATATTCAATTTTTGTTGAAATCAAACAAAGTTTAATTTTGGACCCCAACTTGGACAAACTTGAAAACTGGTCCCATAATCAAAAATCTAAACACATGTTTAGATTCAGCATATCAAAGAACCCCAAGAATTCAATTTTTGTTAAAATCAAACTAAGTTTAATTTTGGACCCTTTGGACCTTAATGTAGACCAATTAAAAAAAATGGGACCCAAAATTAAAAATCTAAAAACACGGTTAGATTTGGAATATCAAAGAACCCCAATAATTAAATTTTTGATGAAATCAAACAAAGTTTAATTTTGGACCCTTTTGACCTCAATATGAACCAATTTGATAGCGGGCCCACAAATAAAAAATCTAAATACATGGTAAGATTCAGCATATCATAGAACCCCATATATTCAATTTTTGTTGAAATCAAACAAATTTTAATTTTGGACCCCAATTTGGACCAACTTGAAAACTGGGCCAAAAATCTAAAATCTAAATACATGTTTAGATTCAGCATATCAAAGAACCCCATATATTCAATTTTTGTTAAAATCAAACAAAGTTTAATTTTGGACCCCAACTTGGACCAACTTGAAAACTGGTCCCATAATCAAAAATCTAAACACATGTTTAGATTCAGCATATCAAAGAACCCCAAAAATTCAATTTTTGTTAATATCAAACTAAGTTTAATTTTGGACCCTTTGGACCTTAATGTAGACCAATTCAAAAAACGGGACCCACAATTAAAAATCTAAATACACGGTTAGATTTGGCATATCAAAGAACCCCAATAATTAAATTTTTGATGAAATCAAACAAAGTTTAATTTTGAACCCTTTTGACCTCAATATGAACCAATTTGATAGCGGGCCCACAAATAAAAAATCTAAATACATGGTAAGATTCAGCATATCAAAGAACCCCGTATATATTCAATTTTTGTTGAAATCAAACAAAGTTTAATTTTGGACCCCAATTTGGACCAACTTGAAAACTGGGCCAAAAATCTAAAATCTAAATACATGTTTAGATTCAGCATATCAAAGAACCCCATATATTCAATTTTTGTTGAAATCAAACAAAGTTTACTTTTGGACCCCAACTTGGACCAACTTGAAAACTGGGCCAATAATTAAAAATCTAAACACATGTTTAGATTCAGCATATCAAAGAACCCCAAGAATTCATTTTTTGTTAAAATCAAACTAAGTTTAATTTTGGACCCTTTGGACCTTAATGTAGACAAATTTAAAAAACAGGACCCAAAATTAAAAATCTAAATACACGGTTAGATTTGGCATATCAAAGAACCCCAATAATTCAATTTTTGATGAAATCAAACAAAGTTTAATTTTGGACCCTTTTGACCTCAATATGAACCAATTTGATAGCGGGGTCCACAAATAAAAAATCTAAATACATGGTTAGATGCAGCATATCAAAGAACCCCATATATTCAATTTTTGTTGAAATCAAACAAAGTTTAATTTTGGACCCCAATTTGGACCAACTTGAAAACTGGGCAAAAAATCAAAAATCTAAATACATGTTTAGATTCTGCATATCAAAGAACCCCATATATTCAATTTTTGTTAAAATCAAACAAAGTTTAATTTTGGACCCTTTGGACCTTAATGTAGACCAATTTGAAAACTGGACCCAAAATTAAAAATCTTAATACACGGTTAGATTCGGCATAACAAATAAATAAATGTGGTCAAAGATTTTACAAATCTAATGAGCCATACTGGGCTTCCTTTATAAATATGCATTTCTTTAAACATAATTTAAAAGCAGTGTAAGGGAAGTAACCAAAACGTTGTATTTGGATTACCTCCCTTACACTGTTTTAAATTATCTTAATTGTGCATTAACCTTTAGGTTACAAGGAAGTAATTATTTACATAGGCGACAATGGTAGCCTTTTTTGGTCCTGCGTTTTCACTATCAAAGATCCATAGAAAAAAATGTCGAATTCTGAATTATCAACACCTTTGGGTGTAATTGAAACTGCAAAACACATATGGTGCCGCAGCTTTTTTGATAGAAAAATTGCATTTTTTAAGGGTACTCAACGGTTCTGGAATTTTCGAAATAGTATAAACGAAGAACACCCCTTGCTAAATTTGGCACAGAAAATGTTGCTCGTCACAGAGAGTTTTCTCTAAATTTCTCGCTATTTCTACACCAATGGCCAACACTCATTTCTCACTATTTCAATTTTGATTTCTAATTACAAGGGCAGCAGAAAATAAATTTACTTCTACCTATTATCTTGGATGTAAAATCTAGGTGGCGCCAGTCATCTTTATTTACTTCCTTTTAACCTATACTGACATATATTGAAATAAAATCGGACAATCTTTACATTAGTCGATAACTATATACTCCTGCTGCTAAAGTTCAAATTTTTGGATTAAAGGTACAATTTTTCAACTTTAAAAATGACTTTCTTTACAGGTACCCCCCTTTGCAGAAAACGTTGCTTTTTACAGACTTGGGGCCATTGGCCAGCTTATTTTGACTGTTTGGCTATGTTTAAAACGAGGTGTTTGATTAATGAAGTTCGATTTAGGCCTATTAAAGACTTTAGGCTGATGATTTGATAACTGTGTCCAACTTATATGTCTTTATCACGAATATATGAACACCGTTGCATAAGAGTCAAAATATTTTATGAAATAGACTATAAAAGTGCTGAAACTAAGAATTTATCATTGCTGTTATGTGTTTTATATGAATCGTGTGCAGAATATTCAATTCGACGATACTAAGGAGAAACATGTATTGCCTTTGATTTTTTACCTAATTTTAATATTTTAGGGGCATTTTGGCACATTTTGGCCATTAAAAATACAAAAATTTCGCTAACGTCAGCAAAAATAAGCCCCCCTTTTTTTAAATATGCATAAATACATGCAATGTTATCGAGGATGAGGAGAAATGATTAAAGACAGAGTCATTGACAGAAGTCTCGTTCTTACAGTAGGTTAATGAACCCTACCCCTTAGGCAGAAGAATAAAAAAACAGTAAAAATTTGATATAGACTATAGTTTCTTGGCGATCAGCAATTTTCTTCTGATACAGTTTATCACTTAGTACCTTATTAATTTACCGATCCAATTTCTAAAATATCTCAAAAAATACAGTGATGCGCCAGAAATCGTTATTTCGCTTTAGGTTACAAGGAAGTAATTATTTACATAGGCGACAATGGTAGCCTTTTTTGGTCCTGCGTTTTCACTATCAAAGATCCATAGAAAAAAATGTCGAATTCTGAATTATCAACACCTTTGGGTGTAATTGAAACTGCAAAACACATATGGTGCCGCAGCTTTTTTGATAGAAAAATTGCATTTTTTAAGGGTACTCAACGGTTCCGGAATTTTCGAAATAGTATAAACGAAGAACACCCCTTGCTAAATTTGGCACAGAAAATGTTGCTCGTCACAGAGAGTTTTCTCTAAATTTCTCGCTATTTCTACACCAATGGCCAACACTCATTTCTCACTATTTCAATTTTGATTTCTAATTACAAGGGCAGCAGAAAATAAATTTACTTCTACCTATTATCTTGGATGTAAAATCTAGGTGGCGCCAGTCATCTTTATTTACTTCCTTTTAACCTATACTGACATATATTGAAATAAAATCGGACAATCTTTACATTAGTCGATAACTATATACTCCTGCTGCTAAAGTTCAAATTTTTGGATTAAAGGTACAATTTTTCAACTTTAAAAATGACTTTCTTTACAGGTACCCCCCTTTGCAGAAAACGTTGCTTTTTACAGACTTGGGGCCATTGGCCAGCTTATTTTGACTGTTTGGCTATGTTTAAAACGAGGTGTTTGATTAATGAAGTTCGATTTAGGCCTATTAAAGACTTTAGGCTGATGATTTGATAACTGTGTCCAACTTATATGTCTTTATCACGAATATATGAACACCGTTGCATAAGAGTCAAAATATTTTATGAAATAGACTATAAAAGTGCTGAAACTAAGAATTTATCATTGCTGTTATGTGTTTTATATGAATCGTGTGCAGAATATTCAATTCGACGATACTAAGGAGAAACATGTATTGCCTTTGATTTTTTACCTAATTTTAATATTTTAGGGGCATTTTGGCACATTTTGGCCATTAAAAATACAAAAATTTCGCTAACGTCAGCAAAA